AGAAACATCTTCTAAATCTAATGCAAGCACGCAGTATACTAGGTCACTGTTTAATAGCAAGTAGTTATAGTTGCAGTAACTTGTGTTAGTTGTGCTAAGAGAAAATGGCCGGTTTAGTGATATGGCTGGCTTGGTGATAATCTACGTTAGTCCCTACATCAGGAAAAGTTTTTCGAAATCCGGCCTAGACCGGCTGTTGCTGACAGTCGTGGCATGGTCGTGCAACAGCCGTTCAACAGCCCCAACAGCCCCAATTTGCGCCCAACAGCCCTAATTTTGCGCCAACGTTGCTAATAGCTAAAACGCTAAGTGCCTATATTTAACAAACTTAAAACAATGTTGCAACGTTGTTGCATAGCTACCCTTAGTGCTAGCACTAGCATTAAATATTTAAAAATTGCGAAATTTCACGTATAGATAGAGCGAAATTGTAGCTTTAAAATAAGCGAAAAATTATTATTGTAGGCCTACTACAACGCGAGTTATAGAGCGTTGAAGGTTTGTTTGTTGAAGGTTTGTGTTTTGAAGTTGCAACAACACACCACACCGTAGCAGCTGCAGCTGCGCCCGCACACAACGTAGCAGCTGCAACAGCATACAGCATGGCACCTGCTGACCCCAACACACACACACACACACACACACAGCAGCAGCGCAACAGGAGCTTACAGAACAGGCAGGCCCAGGCGTAAAATTCTTGGTTTACCTACTATTCTTAAATAATATTCTTATATTTTCTAACATTCAGGCTGCTAGAGCCCTAGCAAAGAATCTTAACTTAGTGTCTTGGCAAGGAAAATTAAGCTTAAAACCTTCTACGCTTAATAACTATTCTATTACTAGGCCTATAATGTTATTTAATAGCTTATTTTAAAGAGGAGACTTAGTAGTATATTAATATAATAAAAGTATAGTTTATTAAGCAGAGCTACTATTGTAGCAGGATTAGGAGTTATTGTGGCTATTGCAGCTATTGGGACCGTTGGAGCCGTTGGCTCAAAATTGGCTCAAAATTGGCTGGACATTGAATGCACATTGAATGACTGTTGTAGGCCTACCAGTCCTACTGTTGCCCACAGTACAATGCCACGATTTCCTGATTTTGACAATGGAAAAACTTTTCCCGATGTACCAACGCGCAGGTAGTGTTAGATCGCCTTAAGGTGCGACATTGTACCCCACTAGCACCCCCTCTACTAGAGACACCATGGCAGTTAAGGACTCTAAGCAATACACACGAGTTTAGGTCTTAGTTAAAGCTTGTACATGACTCCTTTACTTAGTCACTAGTTACAGCCTAGGCTGGCTTCTCTCAGCTTATTAAAGGTGGTGAATTAATGCTGCACTAAAACGTGCTGCAAGCTGCTCGCATTACTAAGCTTAAAGAGCAATTAGCAGTCATGACTAGGAGAAAGTCGCGCAAGCGAAAGCAAATTCAGCATAGCAGCACACTTGAGTATGGCCCAGCAGCATCACGGGTAGCTGCTGAGGTGTCTGTAGCAGCTTAGCCATTAAAGAAGACTTGTGGTGCAGGTACTTAAGAAAGGACCTAGTTAGCCTAACAGCGCTGTAGAAACTGTGGAGGCACAGGGCACAACGCTTAAACGTGTTAGAAAGATATAGAAGAAGATTCTAAATCTAATAAAAGCACGCAGTACGCTAGATTACTGTTTAATAGCAAGTAATTCAAGTTGCCACAACATAAGTTGGGCGCGCCAAGAGATTTTGACTAGTTTAGTGATATGACTGGCTCAGTGATAGAGTACGTTAGGCATAATGCTGAATTCTTTACAATAGAATACACACAGCTCACTGATGCGCTAATGCAGGCTGACGCATGCTAAGACTTGACAGCGCGGCCTGCCGGCCCAGGCCTGTCTGCAGGGATCATCCACTCAACACTGCGGAGGTCCCAGCATGCACACAACTGCGCTGGAGCGATCTCCTCTCCGTATGAACCGCTGCGCGTATGGCCCCGGAGGGGGCATCTGTGCGCGAACCCTGCCACCTGATTGGCTAGCTAGCCCTCGCCTCACGA